TCTTTCTGAAACCACCGCCTCAGACCTAAATTACAGTTATAAGTTAAGCTTCGTAAGGTTGTTCTGTCTTTTAATCTTTCATCCCAAGTTTTCAAGCTAATTCTTTATTTAAATTGTCGTTTTGAGTTGGCCTGTTCTCAATCGCCTTGTGCACTTTTTATGTTTTCAGGTCGAATCCTCGCTGAAGACAGAAAGGATAAGATGAATCAGAATCCCTCAAAGGAAAGTAAAAGGAATAAATCATCGTGTAGTCTCAACTGAGTAACTAAACCTGACCAGGTCAACCCGTTAATGTGAGCAACGTGAACGAACCGGACAACATTGAAGGCGTGATGTGATAAACGCGAAGAATAAGCGCGACAAGCGTTTAACTGATGAAGAGCGATTTATCAGGGTGTTAGGGGTACAGTAATAAAACATTGAATTCTTAAAGACAGAAGTACAGCTGGAAGATCACGTATATTCTCTAGAATCCAAATGGCGATGTCAATAAATCGAAATAAGCTACATTTATAAAACGCGAAATCAAATTTAAATTGATGTTAAGGTGAATTGATATTCAAATTTCACGAAATGTCTGGAACGGGGAAATATGAAATCAATTAAAAAGAACATTAAAATATGACCCAACCTTTACATTTTTGATGCTAATCTTGCCTCAAGGATGTCAACTATTTTAGACACTACTGATCTAAAAGACCTGCGGAGAAAACAGTTTTCTGACATATGTTTATCTGGGAGAATGAGCGACCAGTTTTGGCGCAAACTCAGAAACACCGTACTCTTGGTGCTGACCAAAACGATCGCATTCCCTAAAGCCATGCATTAGACACTGTTTGTTCCTAATGGTAGCCACAGGCCTGTCACGACTAACAGGCGCCAATCTGAGAAACAGGACAAACACGCAGATTGATGGCTGAATAATCCATTGAATAAAAGGATATACCTCAAGTAGTCACAAAAATAACCAAAAGTAAAAACTCAGGGTAGTCCTGTCAGAAGTCTAAGAGAAGACTTCCCTGCTATCAGTAGGAGCCCTTATTTTAAATGTATTCTGATCACAAATGCATTAAAAGTATCTATAAAAATATTTACAACATAAAAAAAAATTAATGGGAAAAAGAAAATTAACATGAACAGAAATTATTCTAAACAGTACAGCAACTTCCAGTCATGGTCAAGTCCTATTATTTTCTAACGTCAAGAACTCGATCGGGTTCGGGTTTTCCCGAATTCAGACCGAGCTGCATTTAGCCCGGGAAATATGAGATATGAATTTCAATTTCTATAAACAGACTTGAAGACTATTTATAAACATACGAAAAAGGCGTTTGGTGTACCGTAAATAACGTGTCCGACAGAATTAAAGAATGACAGCTCAGTCATTTTTATTTCACTTTCTGCTTCTCTCAGCGCTAGAACACACTTGTAACGCTTCCGTATCGGCTTTCGGAGACTAATTTTAACCTTCCGTGAATGTATCAGTGCTGAATGGGAAACTTTAAGATAATTAAAGTTTTGCGCTGTCTCGGAACGAGATCTATGAAAGACTGCCACAACTACGAAACGCGTCATTAGTTTTCCTCGGCTGAGAAACAACAATCTTAGGTGCTAACGACGATTTGGTTATCATGGAAGAGATGTTGGATTTTGAACAAAATACCACTTACTCGGACATTCAAGGGAATACCACTTATTTATCAGGTGTAGGTCCTGTTGCACTCAGTTGTAACGACAATAACCCTGGTATGTATGATAATGACTCGTTCTACTCCTTTGAGGGCCACAAGTTTATTAGCCTTTGGTTATTAAGTGCTACCCTCTTTAAATAAAGCTTACTTACATACCTATACTTACCTACTCCAATTACACTTAGTTTAGTCAGGGAGAACCATCAGATTTTTTTTCTTACTTTTGAAAAACGTCGGCTCACCAGCCTTAGCTGCTAACAACAACTTGATCTGAAAACCAAAACAAAAAAAAGATTTATTTATTCTTTGTTGAGCAGTCTGCTTCAAATTAACTCAAAACTGGCCTCATTCGAATGCCTGGAATCTCTGACTACCTCCTTCATCACTTTAATTATCTACATGTTTATCTATTTGTTCCCGAAAAATAATGCATTCTGTGCACTAGCTTGACATGTTAGAAGGACTTTTGAAAGGCAAGTTAATTAGAAACTGAAATTTTCACCCTTTTAAGGCCATCTTCTTTCTCCGTATTCAATATAAATTTACTGCTGTAAGCTGGTACCTTACAGACTTGTTGGCTCTTAATTAATCTGTGGCATCTTTTTCCTTATCGCAGGATTCTTCATGGGTCGGAATGCTTTGATAAATGAAACAACTGGTGATAAAATAATTCCATTTCCAATTATAAAACTACCTGTTTGGGATGGGAACCTCCATGTAAACACCTCACAAGCTCCTGACACAGGTGAATGTTTCATTTCAATCTAAGGCCGGTCGGGCCGTTTATATCCGATACGAAGACGAAGAGATTGATCGAACTGTTAATGTCACCAACCACGATTACATCTTTCGATGTTTTAAGTTGCATATGATGCAGTGATCAATCGAGCTCTTAATTCTTTAACTCCCAAGATCTGATTGTTGATTCTCCAAACTAGCTGCTACACATTTCCTCATAAATTAATTATAAGAATTTGGTGTTAGATCAAGATAAAAACTTCTCCCTGACGAGTTTGGGAATTTTTTTACCCGTTTGTTGGATTATGTATGGATATTATAGGGAGAAGTCACATGTCAATCACTTCTGGGAGTTAGGGGTTAATTATGACCTGAGGTTGAAGGACACCGGTAAACGAAGAGAAAGCGTGTCGCATATCTATTCATTGTTATCGAATGGCTGATTCAATCGTCAACCTGTGAATGTATCTGGTGCCCAGGTGTCCTAGATTCTGTTTGGAAGGTGCCCTAGATTCTGTCTCCCACTTGGCCGTGGGAGAGTCAGGTTCCATCAGATGCGAAACCCGCGTTTTGGACCCGCAATCCTTTTGGTCAGCAACACGTTTGGTGGCAATCCTAAGTAGGTCATGTATGGGGGATTAATACTGTATATATGTAAAGTATAGGACATAATATGTATTGAGAACATAATAATTCCCCATACATGACATACCGACCGTGGCAATGTTATTGAGCAGGAGTGCGTCTTCGTACTCGTTCTTCGACCACCAATTCCCGACTCACTTGAAATATGGAGTTACTTTTTTGTGAAAGGGGGAAAACCGGAGTGCATATACCTGAAGAAAAACCCGCTGAGTAAAGACCAAAATGAACTCCACATTGGATCCATATTTAATCCCGAATCACAATTTTAAGAACAGTTAAATGATCTAAGCCATTATTTAATTCAATATTTACAGCAAAATTTTAATACCTAAGGGTAGAATTGTTCCGTTTTAGAGCTGGCGTGATCTGAGCTGTGATTAATATGACAAAAACTCTTCTCAGGTGAGAATCTTTTCACATATCATGCTACTGTTGATGACACTGAGTCATTTTCAGCCTCAAAACCACCCGCTTGGACCACAAGTCATGAAGAAAAAATTTCCCGAGATGCATTTGGAGGTGAGGAGTGAATTTCTATGGATAATTTGTCATCTTACTGTTTACGAGGTCCGCATTTGACAGTACTCGTATAATGTTTACAAAATTAGCTTGGTTACAAAAATCTCCTTTTTTTCAATTTGCGTTTTAAGAATTGGACAAATCACTAATATATTTTTTTCTACCTGCTGCGAGGCAAGAGAATGAACAGGGACAATTTTTATCGCCTTCCATAATGAAGAGATCGATTGAAATTCTGCTTGAGTACAATAAATTAATTTATATATAATCAGGTATAAGGGGCGCCATTAATATAATTATAAATATTGATAGATGATGAGAAATCACAGCGGCCGTATTGGTTACCAAAACAATAGCATGGCGGCCATTTTGCTGTGCAGGTCAGTCTGGTGGGATTTGAACTGTTTTCTTAAATGAACAATATCTTTTGCTCAGCACGTGACAGAAAACGTCTCATAGCATAATTTAACGGTGGCTCATGTTCAGAGTTGCTCTATGTTTCAGGCCTTCAGTGTCTTCAATGTCGACTTTCTTATATTTTGGCACCTTGACACAATGTTTTTTAAATACACTTTGTGAATCACTCTTGGTATTTTTTTGTTATTTTTTTTTATCTAGATTCCAATGAAGGTATTGCTACTTTATTGCATTGTGTTTCACGGGAAAGAATGAGATTTCCAACAAAACCTCCAAAATCACCTGAGAAGGACGCATATCCCCTTGAAAACATCTCATCAACTCAAACTAAAAGTAAGTGGTATTTTATTCACATTTTTCTTTCAATATTTGCAACTTTCCTTATCATTTTTGCTTTCGTATTTTGTTTCGTCTTCTGTGGATCTCTTGGATTACATCAATGTTTTAAAACTGATAAGATCTGAGGATTAGATTTAAATACACGCCCATGACTGATACTTTTCCTTTATTTCATTTTTCTTTTCTTTACTCACATGAACATTTCCCAATAAGATGTACAATATAAAATATCTTGCATAAAATCGATATGACATTTCTATTTTAAAACCTATATATTTAATTTATTGATGAATCATTGTTTCATTTTATTCCACGGCACACTAGGCTTCAAACCAGAGAGCTCTGAGGGACAATGTAATTCAGATGATCAAGCTACTTCACTGACTCAAGAGATGAAACGTAACTGGCTTTTCTTCTAATCATGACTCAATTAATGATGAGAGAGTCTATGAGTAAAAACTAATCAGTATGAATTACAGCAAGGTTTCTTATTTTAAAAGCCAAATTATACTCGCCTGCGGACGCTATAAAAAGGTAGCAGCAGCCGATTCATACAGAGAGGCCATACTCCTTGTTGCTTCTTGCTTGTTACCTTGCTTACCTTCAGAAAACCGGGATGATCTCTAGCTGAAGTGTGATACAAGGCTTGTAGACGTTGTAGGTGGAGTCTGGGCCAGAAGTGAAGGACTTTCAACTTCTCAGTTGAAAAATAAAAATGGCTGGAGATCTCTGGAAAAATAAACAATCAGAAAGTCTATCCGTCACACTCTCCAAACATTTTGAGAAATGTGAGACAAACCCCAATCGCATTGATTAAACAAATGAATAAATAAATTAGATTGGCCAGACACCGGATGTCTGGCCAGACTCCGGATGTCTGATATTCTTTCTAAGAAACACAGGAATCTGTTATCCGAGGTGATAAAATTTTAATCCCGACGTCGGTTTTTCGTGTAATTTATCCGACATAACCGCAAATTCTATCCAGTTTGACTGGATTTTCATCTTCGAGGAAACATTCCTATAGATCTCTTCCAATATTCAGCTGACAAGTTCGAAAGTATATCTATGCCTGAAATGTGTCCCCATGGCATTTGTTTTAACACACGGCGAATTCTCGAGACAGCAGTAATATGACCCACATTTCTAAGAAAAGACAACCCTAAAAACGCTTAAAAACATAACACCAATGATTATTGTTGCAGAAAAACGAATTAAGCGGGACATAAAGTTCATTTTAAAAGACTCAAGCGAGGAATTATGTAAAAAAAGCTGTGCATGTATTGACTTGCCGACATGTGACCGACACGTGCTATGTTGTTTACATTAAAAGCTGTATTACGACTTGTAACGACAATCATTCCCTGAAATAGTACTGCAGGAAAAGGAAAAAGAAAGATAGAAAGACATTCACTAGTGTTGTTTTGACATAGACTGATGAGCAACTCTGCAAGCTTTGCATGACTTGTGGTATTTGGAAGAAATAAAGGAGGTTTCATGATACACATGCTTCCTTTTAAGGTGTTATCGATCAATCACAAAGGAGAATGACTTTTCTGAGAAAGAAGTATATCCCAACAGCTTATTACCATAAAGAGCTGCTGGGGCAACTGAGGTCACACGTCGACTCGCTCAAATCGTGCAGACGGACCCGTAGCTCGCTGAAAATCAGAAAGTTTCTCGCAGAAAAACAATGGAAAATGGCGGAAGTGAGAAGGAAACAAACGAACCACTGAACACTGGCAAAGAAGAGGAGGAAGAAAGTAAGAAAGAATTCGAATCTCATCCAAGGTCGATGAAATTTGGTAAGTTTCACTTGAACCAAATCTCGTTGTCCCCTCTGTTACCGTATAATCTAACCGTCAGAAAAACACTGCAATCCTACAAATTCAACCACTTTATTAAACAACTCGTGATATTCTTAAGAGAGGATGTCAGCATCCATCGAACAAATTTGTAATATTGTGGCAAGTCGCCCAAAATTCATTTTCACCCCTACTTTCATACTTTGTAGCCCAATATGTTCTAATAATTGTTGTGTAGTTTTTTTTGTGAAAATATATTTCAGTTTTCGAGAAATGATTTTTTTTCCTTCGACCGCTCAAATATGCAAATTTTCACCGTAAATATTACCCGAGTTGTGTGATCTCATGTAACGATTCCACTCGACCTCCGGTATTTTTGTCAACATAATCCTTTGTTTTATCGTCTAAACTTAAGGAAATTTTTACAGTAACTTTATAACCATCCTTTTGTCTTTTAAAAGCTTGAAGCTCAGTAAATTCTGTCATATCGGTCATTGTTAAAGCTGTCTTTGTTTTGATGCTACTTTTCGACATTGGCAAAGTATGTCGGACAAAAATATTCACCAAAAATAAATATTTCTTTGCCAGCTTCAACAATGACAGGGGATTAAGTTTAGATGATAAAACAAAGGATTATGTTGACAGAAATACCGTAGGTCTTGTATATTCGTTACCTGAGGTCACACAACTCGGGTAATATTCACGGTGAAAATTTGCATATTTGAGCGGTCGAACGAAAAAATTATTTCTCAAAAACTGAAATATATTTTCACAAAAAAAACTAAACCACAGTTATTATAACATATTGGGCTACAAAATATGAAAGTAGGAGTGAAAGCAAATTTTGGGTGACTTGCCGCTGCTTGTCTGATGCATGCTGACATTAGCTCTCAATAGGGAGCGACCCCTGGAGGTAGTACAGTACTTATGCTCGATCAACTTACTTAAGCCTACTACAGTCTATATCTTAGCTAACCACTAAGCCGAACTCACAGTTTTCTCCATCGTTTCTTGAAATTAGCAATCTTCCACTGTAGCTCTCTCTCACGGTATAGCTCTCTAAACAGTCGGTTGCTCCCGACAACAAAAACAACAACTCCTACTACATAACTTAGTCCTTGTATACATTCACAAAGTGTTCTGGAACATTCCAGAAGCTTACAAAAGCACAAGCTTTTAATCATATTTTTAATCAGGCTTTTATTAATTATGAAGGCGTCAAGCGTTGTCTGACTCGGTGTTAAGTTACAAGAGAAACCGTTGAGAACTTGAACACGTTATAAGGAATGGTATGGGGAACGAGATATGGATACAAAATGCAGACTAGGTACAAAATGTAGAATTTCTACCTAAAAATTTCATACTTTTGCGCTTAAGATCGGCCAAAACAAAAACAAAATTTATAACATAAAATTATAAGGAAACCGGTGCATAGACTAGAATTACACTTAAAAAGATAACTGAAAGAACGTAGCCCTTGAAGTTTGTTACATAACAACACAATAAACAGAGAAATTGAAGGAGGAAGGGTGTACCTAAGATAATGTCACCAAAAGAACTACTTGTCGTCCGTATGAAAAGTCAACTGATCATAAATTCAGTGCGGAAGATGAAAAGTACAAGTTGGTTACACCTTAATCGCCTCACAGAAAGAGGTGTTGAACGCGCTGAATTAAAAATTAAGAATTACTTTCTTGATCGAGAGTTTGACATGAAATTGATCTAAAAACGAATCTGAAAGGAATGAAAAGTGTAAGAAGTAGGAATTTCCAGGAATTCCTGTACGAGATTAACCTTTTCCAGATCAAATTACTCCCATATTCATCAAGCAGATTATCTTCATTGAAATATATCTTAACGCAAGATAATTGAAATACCTCACGCCAAGTTTTAATCACCTTAACACTGAACATCCGCTTTCATGTCAAACTCGCGATAGGGTAATATGCCATAATATTGACGGTTTAACACAAACTTTTGTGAGTTAAATGGACTATCTTCTCTCAGAAAGAAAAGATAACAACTACTCTACTTACAAAGTAAGAACTGCTTACAATATTTTTTAACTGCATGACTTCTGCTAATATGTTATTTCCATTCATATTCCCCAACACCAAGGTAATGAATCGCCTATAATGCTCCCAGATAAGATATGTTTTCATTTTATCGTTTGACATTTCTCTTGCTCCTAATTTGATATAAATATTTATAAACACCTAATTGCAACTGAACGTCATAGAAACAAGCAAAAACAATAAGACTTAAAAAGCCAAAGAGGAATTTTTTAGCATCGCGAAAACTACCCGCTAGCTATACCCGGTAGCCGAACAATTTCCACACACAGTTATTTTCACTGAAAATGTTTTTCAAACCTCTTGACAGTGTCAGAGGTTTGTTAGAAATTACAAGCATTTCCAAACATAAAAAAAAAGCATATGCAAAAATAAAAAAAATTAAATAGAAATTTATATCCTAATGTCGTATGCTTATGCTATGGTCTGATTAATTTGAATTCGACTTTGTACTTTTTCTCTCAACTTTTTTTAAAGCGCCGAGAGGAAGGATGCTATTTAAAGAGAGGACGGGGCAGGGCAACAGCAAGAATAGTAATTGTAGTATCAATTGATGCTATCATTGAACGAAAGTTCTTTGTGTAAAGCATTGAACAAGAGCTCTTCGTCAGTGTAAAGCAAACATCTTTGCTTCACACTGTCTTCTACAACTCTTCTACACTACAACTTTCCCTATCATTGATGTTTTCGCATTTTGCTTCGTCTTCTGTGGATCTCCTGGACTGCATCAACGCTTTAAAACTGATAAGATCTGTGGATCAGATTTAAATAAGCTTAAATACACGCCCATGACTAATTCTTTGCTCGTCGTTTCATTTTTCCATTTTTCCTTTCATTCATTTTTCTTTTCTTTAGGCACACCAACATTTCCTAGTAAGATGTACCAAAAAAATCTGCATCAAATTGATATGATATTTCTATTTTAAAACCTAGATACTTTATTTTATGATAATTGTAATGAGCTCCTGCTCTTGAATAATTTGTAGAGTTACATTTGAGAGACGCATTTTTTCGTGACAGCAGAATTTAACGGTTGCTCATGTTCAGAGTTGCTCTCTGTTTCAGGCCCTTCAATGTCGACTTTCTTACATTTTGGCACTTTGCCACAATGTTATGAACAACACTTTGGGAATCACTCCTAGTATTCTTTCTTTTAATATCTAGATTCCAATGAAGGTATTGCTTCTATTTCTCCAAAAGCTGTTGAACGGGGAAGAATGGAATTTCCAACACCACCTCCAAAATCACCTGAGAAGGACGCTAATCCCCTTGAAAAAACCGCATCGACTCAAACTAATAGTAAGTGGTGTTTTCTTCACATTTTCTTTCATTATTTGTAACTCTCCCAATCATTGATGTTTTCGTATTTTCTTTCGTCTTCTGTGGATCTCCTATGTTACATCAACGCTTTAAAACTGATAAGATCTGAGCATCAGATTTAAACCACGCCCATGACTAATTCTTTGCTCGTCGTTTCATTTTTCCATTTTTCCTTTCATTCATTTTTCTTTTCTTTAATCACAACAACATTTCCCAATAAGATGTACCAAAAAATAAAATCTGCATAAAATTGATATGATATTCTATTTTAAAACCTGGATACTTCATTTATTGATAAATCTTTGTTCTATTTTATTCCACGGCACACTAAGCTTCAAACCAGAAAGCTCCGAAGGAGCAGTGGCGAGTGTCGAGAGGAAGGATGGAATTTAAAAAGAGGACTGGGCAGGGCAGTAGAACGAATAACAAGTGTAGTATCAGTTGATGCCATCATTGAACGAGAGCTCTTTGCGTAAAGCAATGATGTTATCTAAGTCTTACCAATAGGAAAACGATAGTTTCATCTCTTGAATAATTTGTAGAGTTACATTTGGGAGACGCATCAAAGAAGTGGGTACATCATCAAATTTAATCGCGATTGTGGTCTACGTTCTTTGATTGGTCAACAAAACTCGCCTTCTCTCCCAACCAATGGGATAAAAATCTCAGAACCAACCGTGGCTTGGTTACTTGCGTTTTCCCGCGCTTCAGGCCGGCTCCATGCATGTATTTGCTTTGAGTCTCATAGGCTCGTTTTGAAATTTCCTTCTTACTGACTATTCCTTATTATTACAGTAATTTGGTTTACGAAACTTATGCACTCGAAAGTGAGAGGTCCGTATTGGTTATGTGAAGCTCGTCAACAACATTCCGACGTAGAGGAAAATTTTCCGGCCTACTGAATTTCTCTTAAAAGTCTGGACTCCTTGTCAAAAATTTGCAAATTTCGTCGTGACAAGTTTTTTCCTTGACATATGTCCATGATAAAAAAAATGGCATGGCAATTCTCAGTGAAAGCTTACCATAAAAAAAAATCATGACGGTTGTCATTGAACGAGGCTGCACTATTTATTAGTAACAAATGACTCACAAAAACGACTTTCCTCACAAATAGCGTTTAATAAGGCACATAAATAATTGGAACGTTATGTCTACGATAAATAAAGCTTATAAATATTCATTAGAATTACAAGTAAACATGTTAGAAAAATAAATCGGTTGCGGAGCGTAAAAAGCAAATCTAAATGAGTGAAAAAACCAGGCACTGTATGTCTTATGCAATTAAACCAAATAGTTTTTAAGTTTATTTTTCCGTCCTGGTTTATCTTACAGCAGTTTTAATTTTTCTTTAAAAATACGAAATGTCGAATATTGTCTTGCTACGATACATTGTATGCCGGGAGGTGGATTGTCTAAAACACTCTATTCACCCTTTCACACTTAAGATCTAAGAGCTAATAACTCTCCCAACTAATTATGATACATTTTTGGAAGAGAAATTGAGAGAATTTTGCGAGAAATCAAACATCCCAATGTCATAAACGTTTTAATTTCTATCTTCTTTCCTGCCTAATTTTGTACTGAAATTGTAACGATAACTTACAAACTTATTACCGCTGGGAAAATGGGAAGTTTCCAGACATTTATCTAATTTTTACAAACAGAAGAAAAGTGTTTCTACTCTTCGTTTTGGAAAATCAACTAACGATCGTTTCACGTTAAGCAACTGAGAATAATCTTGACAGGATTTCACTAACAAAAAAAGAATAACATTTTTCGATCTCCTTGGTTCTAAAAAAAATAAATTGAAAAAATAAATTTGAGAAAATAAGCCAATATATGGTAAAAGGATCTGAAGATACGAAGGAATAGAAATATATTACTAGATTGAACGCTTCGGCAAATTACTATTTATACAAAAGATTGGTTTGGAATTAAATTTGTCTGGTACAAATGGTCGCCCCTCATATGTACCCTCTACTCATCTACGATATGTAAACTATGCTATAAAAGGTAGTTAGAAACTTTCGAGTATGACAATGGTACAGTTCCTGTTTAACACCATGCTTTTAATCTATTTAATCTATTTTTTGGAAATTTTTCCCCGCATAAGCCCGAGGAAAAAATGTTATCTGAAAGATTTGTATATACAGCCAAGACTCAGATTGAAATCGTCGCAAATGTGTACCTAAAAAACGCCGAGCATGATCTCATCTCACTTTTGTATACGCGCCTTGTCTTTTTTTTAAGTTTTTTTTTTTTTTATAAGGAGTAGAAAGTTTCAAAGTTTCTACGACAACTGAAGATGTGTGTAAAATTTTAGTACACCGTACCTAATAAAATCTATTTTTCTATCACTGTAGTAAAGTCTTTTAAACTTTCTTTAATTTCTGTGAGCTTTCGGGCTTTTTTATATCATTTCTGTAAGAAAAACTATATGCCTGACACATCATAACCTACATAAGCGTCTGAGAAATGACAAAATTTTTTTTTCTGATGTATATCAGAGGGCAGGAATTTCAATCCATGAATCTGATCGGCTAATCGCGCACTCGTAACCGGTCCAGCTTTTTACGGAATTTTTCACGCCATTCCCGACAAAGTGGTAAAAACAAACCAGCAAAAAAATTAAATAGATTATTTAGTGGTCTAAACTGATCTGCATGGAAAAAAAAACGGTGCCCTTGGTCTTGAGTATGGCATTCGGCCGCGGGCCACACTCAAGACCATCGAGTACAGTTTTTCACCCAAATATATACATTTCCATTGTTTTAGTATTTTACAAATCCGTTAAGTTGACAAGATCCTTTCCTAAACTGCACGTCATCTAATGCTATATCTCCCGTGTAGCCTCGACCTCGTGTACCTTCAAACATGATCTGCAATACAAGCAATTCAACATATGGAATCCCGGTATATTATTGACTAAGTGAAGGGGCCGCACAGAAACATGGCCTCGAACCCAAACCCCTAGATACGGAGTTTAGCGCGCTACTTGCGCCTTAACCCTTTACGCCCTAACATCAGTATGCATATTCTCCACACTGTTCTTTATACATTTCCTAGGGCGCTGACAAGGAGAATTTGTTTGCCAATCAAAAGGTTCCTTCTCATGAGCTTAACGTGTGATTTAAGAGTTATATTGTAGGGAGAAATTACATGCTAGTCACTCTTAGGATTTAAAAGATTAAAATATATTGAAGCTGGCTCAGCGGCGGACATTTCCGTTCTTAAATTCATTCACTGCCATATCAGAAACGAAACTTCGATTGCTTACATCATAATGAATAATGTCGCTTTATAGCTTTATAGGAGACGAAACATTAATCCTCTGTTAAATCTTCTCTTACCCTAAAATGCGAGTCAGATTTCAGTGAAGAGAACCCTTGTTTCCACCGCTTTCCCTGTTCCCCTGATTTGGACCACAGTTTCGTTTTGGTTCCCAACTCAGTGTTTATCAGGTAAACGCTAAGATGGCCCACAGTCCGACCATTCATACTGTACCACCAGCTTACGCACCAGTCCTCCGAGGGATTGAGCGAGTGGCTCATTAGCTGAGACTTGAAACCAAACCGCGCGGGATAAGAGGATTCTAGGTAGAGGTAATAGCCTACGGAGAAACAAATTAAAAATACCAAGAGTTAATGTGCTGTGACAATCGCAAATTTGCCGTATTTAAAAACTCCATTTCCCGATAAAATAGCGGGAAGCCTTCCACAGAGAGCACAGGCAGTCCAAGTCCAAACTTACCATTGCCTGTGCCATGATCTCCTCCTGGTCCTGTGTTCCTACTCGGGGTAGGACCTTTGTGACGATACCACTTAAAAGATGGTGACGTGCTCCAGACGTTTGTCCAATTACAATAGTCTTTATCGAAATCACAAGCGTTTGAATCTGCAAAAGAAGGAATTGTGTTAACATGGATATTGTCCATTTAACGAGTATGATTCAAAGAGAGAAAGAATAAAAACAATTTTTAAAACGAAAATTTTCAAATAGACTAAGTTTACAATGAGCACTGATTAGGAACACATAGCTAACAATATATAACGCGGAGTCTTGTCTCCAGGGGAGGCCTCGTTTTGGGGAAAAATAATTTCACTCGTGAGGTATTCCCACACGAAATACAATTAATTCCTATAGATCCGTACATGTTGGGTAAAAAATTCACATAAATGTCATCCATGGCATTTTTTCTAGTTTTGTTTTTCGTACCCGTATGTTTTGAACAAATTAAAAAAGACTGCGTGACCTAGTCCTTCAAAGGCACAACCTAACCGTTTTTTTACATCTCACAAAATAAAGCTTATTAATTTTCACGTTCTTTGTTTGCGACCTGTTTAAATCGTTTTCATCATTTAGCCATCCCTGTTCCATACAATCTAATATTTTCTTGCCTTTTTCATGTTGCATCTAAATTGGAACTACGCAAAAAATCTGCTCAAGGGTGTAGATCTAAAGGACATAGACAAAAACCTAGCAGAACTTGACTTACTGTCAGGACACGCCTTCATGTTGCACGTGCGCATTTGTGTGTTTGCTCCCACGCACGTTTTCCCGCCATATTTAGGTGCCGGGTCGTTGCATGATCTTGTTCTCTTCCGTTTGCCGTAACCACATGATTTATCACAAGCGCTCCACACACCCCATTGACCCCAGTTTCCCTTGACAGGCGCTAAAATATTCAGAGAAAAAAGATGGGTTAAAGCATTCTAAATTCTTTTAAAGTGGATCTGCAATCATAGTTAGCTAGAGAGTAAACTAAAAGAACCAATAAAGATGCCCTAAATTTTACAGGGAGAAGACCGTTATTAGTTTGCCAGACCCAACATTCATCGAGAGGAGGATATTGATAACTTGGTCTTATAATAATATCACTCACCATAACATTCCTCTTTGGTACACTTCCTCCGGTCAGTTTTTATTCCATGAGAATCGGCCCCAGGACAGTGCGACCGGGACGAAAAGCAAACCCGCTGGCGGTACTTCATGCACCTGCTGTTACAGGGGGTGTACGCTGACCACTCGCTCCAGCCTACTTTGTCCTTATCTACAAAAAGAACAAGCGTTAATTGAAAAAGCTGAATAACATTTGCGCTTCACGAACTCGCTTGCGTAGAATGGCAAAGCTATAAATTAACCATGATGGCGGGACTTTTCACATAAAGTTTGAAGTTTTGATATCTATTGAACGAATAAATTCCGTGTTGTTGGGTGTCTGTTCAGTAGTAGATCACAGATGACCTCAAAATGTCGTAAGAAAAAAAAGTGGCACACGAATGAGTGCGACACTGACGTTTTTGCCACATTTAAGCGGCAACACGGCAACATAGAGTCTATTTGTTTTATGCGATAAAGAGATCATTAGTAAAACTAGTAATCAAAATGCTTGTTTTATTCAGCCTGAAAAATCCATTTAATTAACTAATTTGTTAATCTGTAAATCAGATTAGACACTCACTTTTGCAGTCATATAGGGCGTTTAATTTCTTGATATCCAGATAACTGAAGCCGACTGAGCGTCCCAAAGACATGTAAGGGTTGTTTAGAGCGCGCACGGTTGGTTTACCATTTCTTGAGAACGTTCGTTTACTGTAATGCATCAAGCTATTGTAGTCATAATCAAAGTCCATACTGTCTACTTTGGAATGTTTGTACTTGTTAAATTGATTTTCCATCCCTAAAAAATAACACATAAAAAAAACTTAAAATGTATCAGTAGTGCTGTCGCCTTTCTCTGACATTTTGCGATCTTTGCAGGTCATTGTAAAGTTGAATACCTCACAGGTACGCCACAAATGCTTCAAGGCAACAGATCTAATGTAACACACGAGACAAAAAACTCGGGTTTAACTCCTCTACTTTCCCGCTCTCTCTCACCACTCTTAGAGTTCCCGGATGTACGAGACCGCTGCACTGGATTACTCTGAACTGATCAGAGTGGGAGTGTCAAGTCAGCCTTGAGCTAGGATTGACTATGAACAGGTTTCATGACTGAAACGCTTGAAAACACAATAAAGCTTTCTTGGCCCTATTATTATCATGATCTAATTTGCATTTCTATATAGCGCTTTTAAAATCCTTCCACGGTCCTGGCGTTCGTCCTCGCGCAATAAGTCTCACAGAGGATCGTGTGGGAAGCTTCCACTTTGGATGAATGACGTCAAAAGAGGGTGTAGTCATTTGTGGTAATTATCGTGCTAGGTACATTGTTGAAGTTCAAATAATTCGTGACTGATGCATCACATACCCTTCTTAATATTCTCCCAGATGATTTCCACGTACTCATCTCGGTCAGGCCTCGACTGCTCGTGCCAAAACCCAATTGCATGCATCAACTCATGCATAATTATTCCTTTGTTGTTACATCTAGCCCCCAGCGACAGACTTTGAGGACCCTTGAACCAGTACAATCGGCCAATGTAAGACCAACATCTGCAAAACACCAATGCATCCACGTCAATTGCAAGAAAAACCCTGTGTTTTTACAGCGCTCTCAGGTGTGTAAATAAAAGCACGTTTCGTTGAAAACGAGAAAAACTTTGAACACTTCTTAATCCACAAAGAATGTATTTTTAGGCGATCAGACAACGAGTTTGTAAAAATTCTGCACATACAACGCTTTTTCTCGCAATGCTGCTACCCTACCGAGACAGGACGCTTCTCAGTAGAGTTAACACCTCTGGCTTTTGTCTAGTTTTCCTTACGGTTCACAGAAACTCATTTATACTTCTGGAGAGGGAAGGGCGGTGGGAGAGAGAGAGGAATTGTGATAGTATAGTGTCTTCCTGCTCAACGCGACACATTGGCTGAAAGCGAATCTTTCGACGCGAAGTAAAGCGAGCCAACCATAGGCCACCGCGCCTACCACAGGGTTCAAACAGGTAAAAGCAGTTGAACCTCCACTCACCCTTTTCCTTTGCTAAATTTTATCCAGTTCCTCTCGTTTTTCCTCTCTTTAAAAGTGATACAGGTGTATTTGTGAAACTCTTCAATCGCAGACATGATGTTCTTCTTGTATGCGTCTAAAATGTAATAGATATAGACGACATCATACAGATTGGAAAGTAAGGGGGTAAGTTTCGAAAGAAACTGTGATGCTGCGTCGGTGGGAGAGTATAACAGGGTAATTTAGTATTTTCAACTGAGTAGATAACGTGAATTGGCCACAAAAAAGCCGACGTTTCGAACGTTAGCCCTTCGTCAAAGTGAATCATGAAGGGCTAACGCTCGAAACGTCAGCTTTCAAACTCTTAACGATGGCCAATTTACGCTATCCACTCAGTTGATAATACTGAATTACCCAGATTGGAAATAGATTGGTACTAATGGTACTAACAGTGAATCCCATCCAAGCTCGGCTCTACAGACGAAATCAAAATGGCGAGCTCTTGACAAAAAGTAGGAAAAAATAAGAAAATATCGAGACATTTACTGAAAACCAACTAATATTTGCATAAACTTTTAAACTTAACTACTGCAATAAAATACAGACTTAACTTGATACTGTTGTTACCATGGAAACGAAACAACTAGGTGCCTTAATATTCCAATATTCCAGAGCGATAAAAGATTTGAGCAAAGATGGCTTCCCTTCGTAACCTTGCCGAGAAATAAACTGCGTATGTTCGGCAGGTTTCACCTACCTAGTCCATTTTCGATCTCATATGGAATAATGCGGTTGGGCCAAATCTTTTTCCTCTGACGCACTGCATTTCTTTTGAAACGTGCCTTCTCGTAAACGTTCCAGTCTCTCTCCGTCAAAACTATATCTCCTTCGTGTCCGATATTGTAGGCTGTAATGAACACATACATATCATTATGAAGGTGCGCACGCAAACTGAGGAGGAGAGAGGGTATTTAATGGATCACTCTTTGCAATTATTTTCCATGTATTTTTCCCTTTACAACGCAAACCACGTGGCCTGGGTTGCACTTAAATTGAGTTTTTTAACAGGAACTTGAGTCACTACTGTCATTTTTTCGTCAGAAAGACGATGTTTTGAAGTTGACGCTTTCTTTTACTTTTGGACACTCAAGAGTGAAATTGGAATAAAACAATCGTGCTTCCATTACATTTTACAAGCGTGCATTCACGGAAGTTTTCTAAACTAATTTTCTGTTGAAGTTCTCAGATCAAGCATGAACCGTTTCCTTCGAAGTAATATGCAAGTACATGATAGATTCTCCATCCTGTTAAATAGAACATCACTGCCGGGTAAAGCACGAAAATCACAAGTAACTTCCTAATCCCACTCGTCGAGTTGTTCGATTATCACAGCCGAGTAGTTTTAAGAACCAATCACCCGTGGTTCGTTCCTTTCCGGTGACGCAGTTCACAGTTTGTTACTTCCTTAGTAGAAGAATGTTGGTAGGCACGTACATCTACAGCTGATAAAATTAGTGTTTGTATAAATCTCTGGATTCTTTAAACTTAAAATTATAAAATTCATTGTTATTTAAACAACATGACTGACCAATGAGTTTAACCTTGGGATTCTGAAAAAACGAAGAGCTTAGACGTAGTGAGGTGAGAAACCGATAAAACCGTCGAAGTTGTTTTTGCTAAATATGAAGGCTAAGTCTTATTTTTTATTTTTAATTGCATAAGATAAGATTGCCAACAACTTGATATCCTTTTTTGACTAAAAAAAATTGTGCTGAACAAGTGTAACCGATAGCTACCACTTTTTCCCGCCAGAAGGACGCGGGTCACGTCCACGAAATTCTCATTGTTTTATCAAATTTCTTTTCATGATTTCATGAAATGTGATTGGCTTATTAGTTTCATTGTAAAATAATCTTGAAAAAATTGGTAGATTGGTAGATAGAGAGCAAAATGTTGCCTACGCAGTGCAGTTCTGTTACATAAAAACATAACGAGCACGATCGTTTCAAACTTGGCAAGCCATTGTAAGCTCCTTTGTCTCTTAAGTCAGTGTTCGCGTTGGTCGATACTTCCCGAATAGTCGAGAGTTCCGCGTTGGCAAAATTCACGCCAAAGGGGAGCATTTAACTAACGAAGAGAGTTCCTTTCAGCAGCTGAGACTTAATAAGAAATGCAAAGCTAAGTTTCAATTTACGGTTTCAGACCAAAAGCAGCCGATGACGAATCCTGCAAAAATGGCGCTTTTGCATGAGCTGAGGAAGCCGTGACAGGCCACTAGAAGTCCTGCTGCTCTTTTTTTCAGCTCCAATGCCTTTCCTTCCATCAAGCGCCCTAAAACTGCTCACAACCCAGCCTACCAAAGAATTCTTGAATTTGACATTCCTTAGTTCAACTTCAGTTCATGTAAACATTTCGAGCCTGTTTTAAAAATATTTCGTGCTTTAGTAAACTTTGCATGATGCGCCCAAGGAACACCACGGCCGAACAGAACACGGTAAACGCAATTAGGATTTTGTTGACGTACAGCTCAGTTTTCACTACCTTCAGTCACGGAATTTCTACAGTTGCAATAGGAGTTAAGTGTTAAACAAAAGTTACCCCTGTCCGGTATCTAAAAAAATATGACGCCATTCTCTTTCTCGAAGTTGTGTCAATAGATACTTCCGGTAAACATTTTGGGTTGTATGGAGATAAAAATCTTACCTCAACTCCCACGTTTGCGGTTTATTTTGACTTGAAGACAAAAGAAGCCAATTTGTTTAGCCTGCCAGTGATGGCTATCTCGAAAGGTCGAAATAGCAAATTTAGGTTTCCACTAATTGGCTACCTGTAATGTCTTTTACGCGCAAAGAAATAGATAATCTTTGACGAGGCATCTTAGGGCATTATAACAGCTGCAGGTAGAGGATAACACGCTTACGTTTGTTTGCTTCGTTAATCCAGTCCATGACAGTAAAATCCTCCCCAAGCTCTTCTGATTGAGAGATAATGGAAGTGTCTGGTAAAAGAAAGAGAAAACAAAACACCATGTTAATAACAGCCCCATGACGCAAAGAGAAACACACACAAGTCCCTTAAGAGCGTGAGTCCTTATCTGCACTTCTAATCATCATGTGGATCGTTATAACAAGTTTACTTTCTCTCTATGCCTGCAACGCCCGGCGAAATTATATAAGCATGTTTTGAGGTGAGAACAGAGTATCCAGTCGCACATCAAGGCAATAATTATGGGCTCAGCCACGGGAAGCTCTCCAAAATAAACAACCACCTCAGAAACAATAACAGTGAAGCAAATCAAATATTTTTCGGAAGTTTGCTTCACCTGAAAACCTGTTTGCGCCCAAGGGACTTGTAAACGAAGAACGGCCTGCACCGATGACAAATATAGCTACTCGTAACAGTAAACATTGCCAGGGATCCATCACGTATCTATGAAAAAAATACTATTGTCAGGAGATATGAAGAACATACACCGGTCAGTGCTAGGCGTAACAGTTCACCCTTAAAAAATGTACGAGAACGAAATGAAACGCAAATTACTTTGTGGAAAAAAGCAAACACGGGCAAACCTCTAACGATGATGAAACAAGCCAATACTAGTGTTTAACCCGACCGCCCGTACTCTCTGTTGCATGTGAATAAATGTCCGTGTGCCCTGGTTCATGTACTCTCCAGTGTCAAATCCTGTTTGTCATTCAATCTCATTACTGTTCACATAATTTACGCTATCAAATCCCTCCCTCTCTAAGTCACGTGAAGTCAATAGCGGCACATTTCCAAAATTCGTTTGCACGTCAAAAATATTTCAATAATACTTTGGCTTTTTAACCTCCGCCAATCGGTTTATGTCCATTTTGTCTAATACGTTGCACCAAAGGTTAGAATCTGTCTACAGTTGCTGTCAACAAAATCTTTTCAACGACGGGAGAACGCATCGGGAACATACTCTGAAATATTTGACCGTCATCTTTGGGCTTATCTGATGAAATCATTCTTACAGAGATAAAAAAAATTCCCCTGTACGTAAGTTTAGTACACAAAATTTAAAATAACTATTTTCAGAAAAGCTGCTTTCTGCATTTATCTGTTTTTACACCTTAATCTTATCCCCAAAAGAGCATTTAAGCTAAGATCAGCCGGATTGCCTGAAGTAACAGAGTTTGAGAGCTGTGTACCGGAAGAGGAAGAAATCGAGGGCATTGCAGAGTTTTCGAATCTGTAATCTTACATCAAATAGCACGCTAAAAATATATTACTATACATGACCCTTGTGCTGACTTTAACCGCGGTTAGGACCTGGAAAATTCGTCTGCTCTTACGGCCAAGAAAACACTTTAAATCTAAACCAGAGAAAGGTTATTCGCACGTTTTGCCCAGGTGTTTAACAAACTAAGCCAATCAAACAAAGAGGTGGGTATTTATCTGACATAGCCTACAACCTTGCACAAGTTATACTTAATGTGTCCCTTTGATCCGTTTGCTTGAAAATGCGCCAAATACCAAAACATTGCTCACGTGAAAAAAAATTAAGGATGCTATGCATACCGATACTGCAAAAGGTATCAACGTGCGAAAACGAGGTTGTAAAGTTTCTTCGTATCAACTTACATTCGGAAGGAAAATTCTACACCAAAAAGTTCCCTGCATTTCATGAACAGCGCACTACACTCTTTGTCTCGATCAATATTAACTCCGATAGGTCAGTGATGTAATTAACGGCACCAACATCAATTTACTTCATGAGACCCACTCGAAGACATAACGAGGTCGCCTCACCGAATCAAACTTCTCGTACAGGGGAGCCCATATTGACTTTTTTTTCGAGAGCTGTATTGACTGTGTTGTACATTCAATTAATCTATGAAAAATAAAAGAGACTATGTGTTTCACTCTGCAGTGTTCCTTAAATCCAACAAAACGTCTAGTATTAAACAATGCAAGGAAACACTGCAATTTTCGTTCGCCTTCCGAATTTTAATTATTTTGTCTTTAATCATATCATTTCACACAGCAGCGGAATATTCACACACTCAGTATCAAGGCGTTATCGGTTCTACATCATCCAACACTAATAATTGGTGGTGAATTATTTTTTCACCGCTCAAAAACTTGGCTCACAAACAAGCCATTAACAAAATGAAAGTAAAAATTAACTCATTTCCACGGTCTGACAGTTTGTAAAGCGAGTCTGGCTCTTGAAGTCAAAATATGGCCAGAATTAAGAGGTATCTTATCACTCTTGTCACAATGGATACGATGTTATTTACACCCTACTCAACATGTGTAAAGAATACACCTATTATAGTCGCGACCTGTCTCGTCTTGACGAGAAAATACATTGTAGAAAGCTCTCGGTAATAAATTCAGTATGCTGCCTTGATTACCAACAAAATCATTCAGCAGTTTTTTGGAGCGATCTTAGGTAGATTAGGTAAAGTTTTATGTTCATAACAAGATGTACAAGGGGTGATCTTTGATAGACGATCACAGTTCTTCTAAGTGCTTCGTTCGATGACTCTCTATAAGGATTACCGGGCTAAATTTGCAGGAGGTAATATTGAGAGATCAGCTAAACATACCTCCTTTGACTAATTGCTCTATGATATTCCCTAAAATTAATTTAGACGAAAGTCGTGTTTCAGACAATTCAATATGGTTACAAAATGGAAATATTGGATGCTCGTAAGGCCTTGTAAATACTGATAAAACTAAATGCACAGTTTAGAACTGATCAAGAAAGCTTTCATCGCATCTGCATAAACCTTCGAAATTAAAAACTACTCAAGAATATACCTTAGACTCGCGGTTTCATGGTATTTTTTACAGATTACCTTTGCACGTAGAAATAGCGCGATAAAATCAAAAGATACGATCAACTTGTTTGGGATCTCACGTATTGAAGGGCGCTTTCTTCAACTGCCTTGCCGACGAGGACTACCACTATGAGGCAAGTCGCTAATCGAGACACTTATACTCGCCTCTCAGTTGCAATATGCAGACAAGGCCAACAAGGGTCGCTTGTTTTCACAACTGATCGGCAATATTTGCTCCCCTGTCTTGTTTTAGGGTGAGGGAATCCCCTTGGGGCATGAAGCATTAGGATCTTAGAAAAACTCTGAATTTGTCCCCTCTCAGCTCAGTAAAAGCTCTTCTGTTTAAATGTTGTTAACAAATATATAATGAGCTCGTAAAAGCCGAGAGAAATCGAGTTGTTGCTGTGACCGGAAGTCAACGTGGTTTAAAATTACGTAATTGGGTTTTCGCTTACCATTGTACAAAATGTCAAACCCCGTCGAGTACCTCTGATTTATGGCGAGAATATATAAATACAAATGTATTTTTAATGAAAAAACATTTGATTTCAAACATATCTAGGCTAACATTTCTTACTCCTCAGGAACTCAAACCAACGCTGAATCGTCTTTTTGAGATTTGACGCCAAATATTTCCCGCCTTAAACATGATTCACTGCAACTCTTTCCACCGCTGCTTCGCGCGCGAGCCATATTTATACATATTAAAATTAAAAGCCGTATCTTTTTTAAAGCTATGCAAATAGCTCGAGTTAAGAAAATTAACACGTACAAGAAACGCCTGTTTAACAGTTGCATGTTCTGGAAAATTGCGTGAAAAGCTTTATCTATAATAGTATTTTTTTTTCTAAAAGAGGATACTAGATAGCCGCAGTAATTTTACAGAGATAACGACTTGATTATCAAAACAACATATTGGATGACTAACTAGCATTACGTTGTTGTCTTATCACACAACCGGACACTAAAACCGCACAGCTCACAACAGGAAATCACGTTCACAAATATACGTGACCAACGCTTGCAGGCATCCATTGATTCAATTTTTAGCGAAATATCGAGTGAAGCCTTATCATAAAGTGTAATCACGACAGGCGGATGGGTGATAGAGGCCCGCAAGGCAAATCTATTGGAATTGAGGTTTCAAGGTTGTTATGTGGTTAACTGGGGGTTATCAGCTCACACAAAACCAGTCGATCGTTCAATGCACAAAACATTTTAAATAGTAAGGTCTAGGTTTCAAACAATAACTTAATTACAATTAATAAATCTCTACCGGCCCCAGCCTCAGAGTTGAAAACTGGGTTGAAGATTGTTATCATGCCGGAAATATTTAACCGTACAACCGGAAAACCTCCAGTTTGCAGCACGAATTTTTTTCATCGCTTGCTTCCGCCAAACACTGATGAAATTTATTGCCAAAACAAAAAGATAAAACCATAAACAGTCAGGCAATTTCCTTCGAGAGAAAAAAAATCATTGATTGAATTTCTCAAAGAGCTTTTGTGATTGTTGTTCCGTGACGAGAGGTAGGCGACGAAAGAGGACAAAAACAACAGGATCACTGAAAATTGCACCTTCGAAAAAAAAAACAATACCAAACAAAAGCTTAGGTTGATATCCAACTGTTTTAGATAATACAGAAATCCTACGTTAAGAATTCGTTACTCCTGCGAAGTCAATCGATTTTAAACCGGTTTAAACCAGAGTTCAGGCTTATTAAATGCATCTCACAATACTTACTAGCACTAGTTAAAAAGATTAACAGGAAGAAAGCAAAAGATACCAAAAGCAACAATGTACAGAATAATTAACTTTAAACGTTTCCCCGTGGGTAGCAACCTTTGAATAGAAATGGCTTTCCACTCTTCAATTGACGAAGGGGAATCTGTTCCACAAATCAGTTCAATATAATTCCCAGAAACTAAATAAAAACAAAGAATGTTATACATCTTACACCAGCTTACCGTCTTGTCAAATTGATACGACGTACCGGCCTCCTAGTGCAGTGGCGATTAAATGATTCAGATCCCTTCTGCTAGTTTCAAAACAAACGATTCTAACTCAACCACTGCAATATCAAGCTGGTCAAGAAGAGTACTTCAACAAAGAGACGTAACTGCGAAACCGAAAAAAACCAATAGCAGCACTGATTACGTCAGTACCGCAGATCGGAACTATTTAATGTTCTTCGATGATTGTGTGTAGGTGAAGCGCAGTAGGGAAGCTCAAGGAATGTTATTGATCAGCGGATTTGACAAACCTCCTCACTTGTATTCAAGTATTCTTTACACCGGAAGCACTCGGTCCAAAAAAGTGGCGCGCATGTAACTTGTAAAAAAAAAAATTTGACAAACCAGTCATGTGTGTAAACAAGAAGTACTAAACCGTGTCTTTAGAAAAGAGTGGCACGGGAATGAAAGAAAAATAATCGTTAAAGCAATGAAAGGTCGAGAATGAATGTAACATTTCATTTGCATCAGTGATAACCGATTAAAGGCAAGCTGGGTCTACAGCGTAAATATTCATAATGCAGTGTTTGATTTGACGTCGCTGAAGTACATGTAGCCGGCTTTGCCATCAATATTTTTTTCGGGTGTGTTTCTGCTCTGTTTCGTGTTTAGAGAAAGGATTTGGTATAGAACATGTGGCTTGATGGAGGTGAACATTTGACCCTTTCAACACTTGTAACACAGGTAATGTCAGAACACACTTCTTCGCAAGTTTCTGAAGCCTATTGAACGAAATATTGCACAATTATTTAATTAGACCAGATTTTGCGAGAAAAAAAAACGGATTTATTTCTGGCGATAATGCGTTTGACAGCTTAAGATGTTACATGGTGAAAGATGTTATACAGATCTCGTACAATGCTTTTTTATAAAAAAAATTCTGACGAGTTATTTTCGCGACTGATTTACAAAAGCCATTATAAACCTTGCGGAGGATATTCTTGGCCGTTTTATAATATTAGAACCTTTCGTCTAAAAATAGATGTATGACTTGAGGGGCTTGGAAGATATATTTCAAGCCGTGTTTTCGTGAACAAAAGATCTTTCGTGTTGTTGTCCAAAATCATTCAAAAGCTGAATGAAGTGACAAAAGACGATGAAATGACCAAAGATAGCTTTCAAACAAGGCGTTCATACTTTTCCCTTGCCCGCTCACTTAACGATAAGAAGCTTTGCTTAAGTGCTTCTCAGCTGTCGACTGGTACCGTTAGTGGAGCGAGAGGAATTTTAATAAGGGAACTAATGAATGACAGGGGAATGGTTTCGCATTCATTTCGTGACTGATCATCCGTGTTTGTTCAGTTTCCCTAAAAAACAGGAAATGCTAAAGTCATTTCATCATGGTTCTTGGGACATTCACGCGAGACTTCCTCGTGAAAGTCATAACGACTAATTATATTTTTGACAGTCTTTGAGGTGGTAAGTTTGCCTCTGGAAAACGAATAATCCCATCATTGCATATTCAATTACTCCTTCAGGGTATTTTAAGTGAATCTAAGCCACCACAAAGCTAATGACAAAATTGGATGCTAATCTAGGTCAAAAATAACTCCGTCACATGGGTTTTACCAGAGATTTCTGGTCTCTGATTATCGAGTTCGTCATGACTATTACTGCTGTGTATATGCAATGTCTTGGTATATCCTATCCAAAGAAATTCACGAATGATATTTGCATAATGTCCGCATCCTCTAAGTTTATTTACAACGAAAGCTATAAAAAGAATGGCGAGTAAAAAGTGAAGGAGTTTAAAATCTCATCAAACTGTCATTTTGGTTAAGCAGATTTGTGATTTTTAAAGACTGACTTTTTGATCATCTCCTGAAAATGCTTAAGACATCGTACCACATTTTGCTCGAGGGTACCCGAAGGTGTGGCAGTTCACATTTCTTTCTTAGCAGGCGAAGAAGTCTGCGCTATCTTCAAGCGCTGGAAAAAAAAGACACCAGCTATAATTTTTCAGGCAAAGGATGAACTCGATTTTACGAAAAGCTGCGTTTGATAATCTCTTGAGACTCAATAGTATTTTCCGACGCTCCTCCTACGTATATTTATTTCATCACCGCGGTGCGTTTGGCCTTGAAATGGGCCGCGCACCAACACAGTCAGCATAGCACACAAAATAATCAACTTGGCAAAAAATTACTTGTTGGAGGAACTCCAATCAATGTTGACGTGCGTAACTGCACCACACGTTTTGTGACTGCATAGTTGAATTTCACTCAAACAAATTTGAGTTCTATGGGTGCACCACAAGTGCATACTCACAGCCACTGAACCATATCCGTGTCGCGTGTGAAGTGCATAGACGCCGCCGCTGACAGATGTCTGTAGATTAGTTAATGGACATACCATCAATAAATTGATGGCAAGGGACTCGGAACTAAGTGCTCTAAAGCTGACAGAAACTATGACCAAGGTTGACTGAGTTGTAAAGCTTACACACATCAAAAGAGAACTCTTTCCCTTTAAGACCGTATATTGCAGGAACACAATCAAGGGCTCATAATTTTCATGACCTAAAAGTCGTGCCGCCAGAAGTATGCCGGTATTTAAAAACAAATTGTGTTCAACCGAGAAGCAGTTACATAATTTTTTTTCCCGAATCAGAGATGAATTATTTTCACTAGATAAGAAAGTGGTAAGACTAAAGAGCACTTAGCAAATACCTAAAACAAGAGAAACCATGTTTTTCAAAACAAAATTGACGGTCATACTGAATCACATGCATCAATCGGCACTGTTTGTCAACGGCCAACCGATCGAAGTAATCGGTTAAACTCTTGGAGGTCCTTCACAATAATGTGATTTATCTTTTAAAAGTTGAAAAGGCACGTCATACCTGCAGGCTTAACTCTTTCAGAACGACCTCTCTGTTGAATACTACACTGGTTCAAAATGATTGCTGAACATATTTCTTGAGAAGCCACGTGCGCGAAGCGATTGTTTGAGAAAGAGTAAACATCAGAGCTGATTTTGTTCTCTCAAAAAATAACACTGTGCTAGTCTTACCTTATGATAGTCTTTCGATAAAATTGTTGCTCGTGACAGTTAAATACCAGTTGGTGAATTAGCTTGTTGTAACAGCGCAGTGTCAAGGTGTGTAACTCTGTGCGGTAAGAGCGATAATGGTTTAAATATTCACAGCTGATATATTTGGCCACTTGCCTGCCCGAGCTTGTAACAACTCACTGATGCAAATTCATGAGATAACATGGTTGCTCTATTGAATGTTTTGTTCCACTTGTGAAATTATTTTCAAGATGTGCCAAGAATCAAGAACAAATACGTTAATTAAGTACAAGTTATCAACAAATATTCCGCACAATGTCAACAATTAAACATGCAAGCACAACATTGCACGTGGGTGAAAGAAAACATATTGTGACAAATTAGTTTATCTGTGTGGTTTACAAACAAAAGCGTAGAAATCCTTTTCTTCGTATACTGAATTCTAGTGGTATTTCCTACCAGCAGTTCAAGCTAACCACCAGCTTTTTTGTTCGTAATTATGGAATTTCCGCTGTTTTTCTATTCATCTGTGATTGATTTAATTGATCAGGTCATCAATAGAAATATCAATACAAATGTTAATATGGCGCCGTTTGTCTCCTGAATTTTCGCTAAGCCGGTGTAATTTATCTCATTACAAACGCGCCAATGAAACCTGTGGTTTCCGTGGTGGAAAAGCTCATTATTCAGTTCTTCAAACACTGTTGAGTCTGTCCTCCGCAAGTTTTTCAGAAAGGAAGCTAGTTTGACAAGCAAAGAAACTTTTAGTCTTCACAAAGGTTTTTCGTCACGCAACACTTCGGTAAGACAAGATCACACCTCTGTGCGAGCTGAAACAACATTACAACTTAGATACAGATAAGTAATTGGTAAGTTAAGACATATGATTCTCATGTGAAATGTGCCTTGCATTCTGAAAAGCTTTTTATTTCTATTGCACTGCATAATTTCTTCCTTCCTACTTTCTGTTCGAGGACGTCTGCTTGTAACTTCTTTTGTGTCTGATCAACTAACCCTTGTGCGTTAGCAGTCATTACTGAGCATGCCAACCATTACCCTAGATTCGCGATGTTACACCGAGCTTTGATTCTATATAAGGACAAACAGTTTGCCAAGAAGGTCCCTCAATTTCAAGCATTGACCAAGAAAGTTCTGTATTGTTGGAATTCATGTTTGACACTGTGACTGTTCTACCCCCCCCCCCCCCCCCCCCCCCCCTCTGGAATGTGTACGTCGCTACTCGGATAAAACTGTTATAACTGTTACACTTTCAAGCTTCAAGTTCAATTTCCTCCCTTCGTTTTAGAAAATTGTATTGCTATAGTGGAGGAAGGCCCGAAAGGCAAGCGTTATTTACTGCGATTTTTCAGGTACTGAGTGGATGTAAAGGAACGGTGAGACACACGCTGGAAGGTGAAATGGGAAAGACTTTAATCCTTCTATACCCTGACATCAGTGCGCATATTCTCTATATTATCCTTCCTTCATTACCGGGACAAGCACTAGCATTGCTGTAGCTGTTCGTACTTTGTCGTAATGCTTCCAGCTGCATGATTTCCGCTGTCCACTTGGTTGAGTCTTCACAAATCATTTCACGCTCATTTCGACAGGACTTTTCTTCATGGTGATCGAGAAAGTAAGGTACGGCAGTCAAAGCGCTCAACATCTCATGCGAATTACACTGCTTGCACCCTCTTACAGTGGACACGTCTAGCTGAAGAAAGGTGTAAGTGCAGTGTGGGTTGATTTGTTCCAAAATTGAATTTATTCCACGAACCGCCCATCTGGATGACAGTTTTCATTGTGCCGTTATCTAACTGGACGGTGTGAACTATCAGTTAAAGTGAAAGTAGAACTCCAAACACGAGATTGTTTAATAAAAGGAAATATGAACAACAAAAGTGAACTATTACTAAATAGAGATTAGTTGTAATGTTTTGATCTCTTATGATGTTCAGAAGAATGTTATATGGAGATATATTTAGCAATGTTTCGTGACGATTGCTACAGAGAATGTGCTAATAAAGGCAAATTTACACATCATCGGGCAACGAGGAAAATTTAAATATTGATTGTTCGTCTCGCGTAAGTGTAAGTTGTAAACAGACAGTGGAAGCCTATTTGTAATCTCCGAGGCTTGGCCTAATTGAAAAGGGTATCGGCAAAGTTTTCAATTCTCCTCAGAATAGCAAATGACAAACAGTAAGGAAATACATGACGAAATGATAAAAATGAAAATGAAAGTCCATCGGTCAAGACGCTACGTAAGTCCCTTGCGTGCTGATGTCACTCTTTAATTACCTCATTCATTCGAGCGAAGTCCAGTACATGATTAATACAGATTCATTTTGCTGGCGTTACTCTAGTTATCCAGGCCGTTTTTAACCGACAGAAGTGGTCAAAAAACGAGAATGGTAACTTTTTAAATGGATCTTGAAAATCCCAATCGTCCCCAGACCGCTCTGAAGCTAGATGAAAAACAGAAGCAAACCGTACGAGCTCTCAGGCGACAAATTTCTTCTCATTCCACAAGAAGCACGGAAATAGATGGCGACCACTTCGCGAAGTTAAGCGAGGAGGAAATTATTCTCCTTCGCAAGATTGTTGAAACATTCACAAGTAATCAAAGGGATGCTGAACTTACCGGGGATGAAGTCGACGGCAAAGGTAGAAAAGTAGATAGAAACTGGTCGATAGAAAGTTATCTTTCCGGATCCTCTAATCGGGGAAGCGGAACTTTCGTGAATCCTGGTCGCTTTTATGTTCGAGTTACACAAGAAAATGTCAAAGCTGTGGAGCAAGTGTGTATCGAAATAGACAACGAGGAATCCAAAAATAAGCCTACCACAAATGGTTATGGGAATTTAAGCGGCAGACATTCATTTGACAACAAAATCGAAAGTAAATACAAATGTTATTATGGATACTCTGTCGCTGTGACGAAGCAAAGTCACGAGGCGATTGTAGTCAGAAATTCTTACGTGACAGGTGCGTTACCGGAAGGCGTCACGAATGGAACGAAACTCAGTTTCACCGATAGACCCTCTTGGAATAAAGCTAGTGGACTTAAACATTTACCACCAAGAGAACGCTTTAAACTAGCGGTACATTTAGTGATGGATAATTTGAAGATGCGGCCTAGAAAAATGGACAAAGACTTCTCGGAGTTATGGCGGAAGCGTGGTAACGCAACATGGCTCGGCATTTTCTTCACAGTGGTGGCGATTGGCGCGTTCTTCGCTGATATTGCCACGGACCTGAAAGTTGCAGCAGACCATTTCAGAGCTGGTAGCAACTGGTGGGGAAGTTTCACGGTTATGTTCGTGCTGCTTCCATCTATTATCATAAACCTGGTATCTTTCTTTTGGTACAAAGAAGATGAAAAGATTGGAAGACGACCAAAAAGTGGCTGGAAAGTGGTCAGATTAACGCATTTCCTTTTAGTAGGGCCCATAGAGAGGTAACAATTGATAATTGTCTGTGAATATTTACAATTTTTTCCGAGATGTACTATTACAGCTTAGTTTTAGACTGAGGGGATGAATCCGTAGTCAAACGTTTCCAAGACGTAAATTCACGAGGAAGTCTGATTGAAGTGATGTTTTGGATTTTATGATAACTAAATTCTTTAGAGGACAAACAACTCTTGTACAACAGATACCTTTTATTAGTTAGTTGACATCTGCATTATTTCCTGTTAACAGCTAAGGTAGTATAAATTTTCTGCATGTTTAAACACGATACACTCTTTTTCTATAAGAACGTCTAATTTTGGGGCCAAGGCTGTACGTTCTTATCGCCTTTCCAATTTTTTTCCCTTTTTTTAGGTACTGGAGAATTCTTGTTAAATCGTATCGAATAAAACGGAAGAAAGAAGAACGAGTTGTTGATCACAAGATATTGATAGCAATGAATCTCGACAGTGGCATGCTGCAAATGATTTTAGCCTTTACAGAAGATGCACCTCAACTTGTTTTGCAACTGTATGTCCTTGTCTCGCGTAAAATCCTTAACGCTTTTGAAGCAACAAGTGTCCGAGACTTGTGGACCATCCTATCCATTTGTTTTTCCTTCGTTTCCTACTCCAGAGCAGTTGTTAACTACATCAGCTGCCTCCGTGACTCAAAACGCCATAAAGGCCAGTTACGCTGGTACGGTTACCTATCCATGTGGTTATGGAGAGCTTTCATGATTATTTCTCGAATACTTACGCTCGTTTTCTTCGCAACAGAGTTTAAGCAATGGTTTTTCATTGCTCTTTCTATTCACTTCGTCATTGTCCTGGGGTTTCTTATTCGTCAAGAGCTTTATTTTTTTCCAGGGTCCAAATGGAAGCAGCATTTTTTCCGTGCACTCATGTCTTACATTCATTTGTTTTGCTTCTTTTGCCTGGAAGGCGTGCGTACCATACCTTGGGCAAAAAAGTACTACATCTTGACTTTTGTCGAAAATCTGATCTTCTCAGTTCTCTGGTACACAAACGGAACCAGACATTTACCACCTCAAGTAGAGTTGGCAGGGTTTATTTGCATTTACGTGTTTTTCTCTGTAGGACTTTTCATGATGACAGTTTACTATAAGTTTTTGCATCCTCGATTCAATCAGCCTCGATTCTCCTTAGCTGCTCCTTTGGAGTCAGAGCTTGCAGATAAAGATCCCAAACATGGGCCGATCAAAAACCAAGAACAACGCTTTGAACTTTGGATTTAAATAACTAAACGAAGTTAATATTTAAAGAAATTTTGAAGGTTATTCCGCAATCAGTGTAGAGTGCAGAGAAGTGGTGGCCGAACTGTTAGGGTATGTGGCTCCTGCTAGGAAAAGTCAGACTTCGAACTCGGCTGGGGTAATGAGTCCTGTGCTCCTGGGCAAAGCACCTAAATCTCCCTCCACCCAAGAAGTGTACACGAAAACTGGTAGACATTCGGCAAAAGCTCATCGAATTCTGAGGGGTAACCCTGCGAAGGAGTACCATCTTATTAGAGGGGAACTAGCGAAGGTAATTCATGCTTTGAAGTCCGGAAGAAAATTCGGCGTTGTATACTGTTGGGCTTGTGTGAAACCAAGCATATAGGACACCACATGTCCTCAACATGTCTAAGAATAATCAGAGCAGTAAGCATAACACGTCAAAACTTACTTTATTTTGAAGAAATTTCATTTACTTACTTATTTATTTTCAAGTTCATTTGCACTTGTTTCTGTCATAATTTTTATACTCTTTAAGAGGGTCAACTTTAACGCCTTCAATACAATCTATCAATTCTGTTTCACAATATTTGATTTTATCGAAACGGCAAAAAAACTCGTCATTTCTAGAGTTTACTCTCTTAAGGCAAAGGTTATGTTTTTTGCAACACCTGAAATCACAGAAAATAACCAGTTACCATTTGTCAGTATGTTTTAGAATATCACAATTCAATCCCTGACTCAAACAGCACGATATTGTCTTCCTACTGTTTTGTGTTGTGGTCGAATCCTGTCAGAGTTAATCCGGCGTCTGAAAAATGAAGGGACTAAGAGTACTTACACTTCTCCCAGACAGGATGCCAACCCCTTCCACCCACTAACTAAAGAGTCGCTTCATGTTCTTTCGCACTCCCCTCCCTCCCTTTCCAATAAGCCCAGTTCGGGATGTCCTGGCCCCGATTGTCTAAAGGTTGGATAACGCTATGCACTGGATAAATGGCTATCCAGTAGATAGCGCAGTACATTTTGTAAACTCTTATCTACTGGATAGCGATTGGATAGCGTAATCCGCCCCCGGGGGCGGATAAAATTATCCAACCGCTCTACAATAGCCTAGACTTCAAATAGAAAAAAACTGATATTTTAAATTCTAGTTACCCATCAAAGGGATCCTTTTCTTTAACAGCGCTGGGGTCTTTGTAACTCCTCATCTCCTTTGTGACGCCACAGAAACAGCCATAGTGATGCAAATCTTTGAGAAAATCGGCCTGTTTACAATGCAGTTGTGCCTCAAACGAGTGCACGGGATTCCAATCACGCCTCTGCAAATATTGCTGAAAAATAAATCAACCGTTACGAGATACTGAGTAATTATTGTTTGCATGTCGCTTGTTGGAGGTTGAATAAGTATACCTGATACCCCCTCCGTTCCCCCTGAAAACCAAGTGTTCCCGCCAAAACTCCTTCCCCCCCCCAACCAGTGATAAATATGGACAGGTCCGAGATGACCGATGAAACATTTACAAGAGAATATAGGCAGTTCATTTTCTCTTGACATTCATCAATTATCATAACCACCTTGAACAAACACATCCTTTACCACAGTTTTAGAACAATTAATCGTTCCTTGATGCGCTTCTTATATTGAAATTCTTCACAGCATGCGTAAACTTCCTTTTTCCAATCTCATTGATTTTCGTTGCAATTTTTTTATGCATTCATTTTTTAGTTCAATAATGTTCAAAATAGGCCGCTCCTGAAGCACTGAATTAAAAAGAAACCTCGGTACAATATTTTACATCATTTTAAATTGAAATGAGTTTCATAACCCAGTTATGTGTCGATGCCAAAATTGTGTTTTAGCAATCAATCAGCTTGCGTAAACTAAAACCTTTTTTGATGTCTTTTTGTTTGAACTCATTTTTAAAAAGCTGGGAGTGTAAATAAAGTTAAGGAGCAATACAAAATTCATGAAAACTCAAAACTGCACTCAGGGGAAAAGAAAAGTTGAAGAGTCGACAGCGGATACAAACCCCCACCTAAAAATTTTTTTCTAAGGGTGACCGACTCCAGGGAAATAGAATTTCCATAAAAATAAAAACAAATGTTCATGAATATATAGGTTAGCCTGCTTGGATACTCACCATTATGGGCTTATCTTGCTCTCGAGTAAAACAGAACACATGAGGAAGTTGAAAAACTAAGACAATCGAAAGTATAAGCTTCGCTGGGCTTCGCATGTTGAAGCTAATGATGATAACTGCTTACAGACGTGTATTTATAATAAAGCCACCCTATAATTAGCCTGCGTTCTGATTGGTCTACTACAAAACCTTAGACGTGCTTCGCTATTCAAGCCTACGATCATTGAAGAAATACAAAGGAAGTTGAACTAAAAAGATTCGCCTATGACTCGTGCTTTTCTCTTTTTTCCTTCTTGTCTCTTTCCCAGGAGGGTTGACCAGTTTATTCTACCGTTTTTCCTTCTCCGCATTGTGTACATATCAAGCATATGTGCCTGATCACTCCAGCTGGGAAAAGATGGTTCGGTTTTTTATTCATCTAACAATAGCTAACAAAGAACTCGCAAATGTCTCGCCATTAGTGCAATTCAAAATTTTATCGACTAATCTTTAGGAAAAATATAGCAAATGTGTTGTTGTTAACTGAAAAAATTGTGTTCATTTAAGTAATATCTCATTGGTAATAAAGACATTTTGCCCGTTTTTATGTTCCTATGTTTCTATATCGCACCATTAAACAAGAGCAAAATACCATACTGTCAAAAGCTACAGAGCAAAGCATGGCAACGACGTTACTAGCTGTAAAGAACTTATCCGAATCTATTGCCTCGAAAAATATAGCATTTACGGAAAAAGAGCCAAATTTCTCCAGTTATTTCAGTTTTAACGTCAAATATATGTCTTGTTGATACGTCTCGCTCTGTCTAAAATTAATGAGACTTTGACATGGAAATTAAAATTGATGATGCAGAACTCAACAGTTCTAATTTAGAGTTTGTTTTGTGTGTAATTTTACACATAACCCGCCGACGGTCACGTTTGTACATTTCACATCTAAAATTAACAGATAATGATCATCGTTAAGACCAGCTGTTCATCACAATGAAAAACGCTTTGTTTAATAATTTTAACATGCATTTTAATGAAACTTAACGTGGCTACCAGCCAGTTAGACGCCCTAATCAGAAACTCGTCAGAAACTCTCTAGAATTTCTTTAATTTTTTTTACTAGAATTGAAATTAATCTTCTACAAAGGAGGCAGATAACTTTTGTAATTATTGAAGTCGATGGCAACCACCCCAAATTAAAAAATATGATATTTAAAATGTTAATAATAGCGCAAAGTTCTAAAGTAAATTTGCATTGTCTCACATGTGAGATTACAAAGCTGGCTGAGTGCCAATATGGCATACAGGTTTTAAAAGTTGTTAGGGGATAACTCGCGTCCAATAAAACGCCTGCAGCGGTAACAACTTCAAACAACAGGGAGTAAAAACTGATTCGATGCCGCCTCTTGAAATATCTGAAAACGTTTGGAAATACCTGAAAACTAAACTAAATGCAGTAGAATGTATTCCTGGTGAATTTTAATCAGTTAAAAATTATAGTTTTCTTAGCTTGAATTATGAATGAAAACACTTTCTCTTCGAACACCGACGTCACTCATTGAATAGCTTTTGTGTAAGAACTACCCGCAGATGGCCATATGGGGAATTCTCTCGACATAGAACTTGAATTGTTAGCAAACTTTATTCGCAGAGTTTAACGCTACTCCTTACAAGAGCTTCCTTCAAATCTACAAGAGATAACGACAAACTTTTGAAAAAAATTCTCGTTGTTGAGTTTCAAACAGCCCTAATTGTAACCGCCTCCGACAAAAGTCGTCAATTAAACACATTTTAGACATAGATGAATTATACAACTCCAACTTTAACTGTCTGAATGACACTTTTAAAACTAACAAACTGTCACTCAAGAGATCATGCACAATAGATAGTGTTTTGTTACGTTAGTTATAATTTCTCTTAAATGCTCCAAAGTGTGCAGGTGTGTGATATTCATGCTGTAAAAGAATCTCTTAAGCTTCACGTACCTACATCAGCGTACAACATATGCTAAAAAGCTGCCAAGGAACAACGAAAAATAACGAAATTATTACTGACAGGGGTTAAAATCATTCTAGAATTTTAATCACTTAAGCTTCGATGTAAGTTAACAGAACCTCAGAAAACAAAACTAATTTTGTAACTCATTTCCAACATAATTGAAATTCACTGTACAAATATAACAAATATACGAGTCGTTTTTCGTCAGTTCGTCTCTCTCCCTCTCTGCTTATTTAAAACAGAGCGAAAAGACCTTAAATAATTCTTGTGTTTTTTTGTCTCTTACAAGAATATACTTGTCAGAGTCTTTATCATTATCATTTTATATGTGGCTATTTTAGATAAAACTGTCAAAGAATACAATGGCGGTTGTTATCCTTCGAATGTAAAACAAAAATGGCGGCTGGAATACTAGAATACAGTACTGTGATAACAAAACGATGATTTTTTTTTGTGTTAAAGTCCCAGAATCTGGGCAAGGAACAAATACTTCCATCGGAAATTTTCTTTTTGTTTACATGGGTTGTCACTGTCGCCTTTCCCCGCCACTTGACCAGAGACGGATTGAACGTTGGCGAAAGAGTGGCCTGGGAACAAGGTTAGCTCAAAACTTGGGCGCTCTGCTGAAAATTCAGTGTAGATTGTTATTAAGGTGAATTCATATTGATCAGGAAATATGGGTTGTACAGTTTCCACACGTGAAAACCCGTATCTTCAAGTGCCGGTAAGTTTCCAAAATTTTACTGCGTTTTTCGTACGAAACGACAGCTGTAGAATCTTGACAAGTTTCTCACTAACCAAAACAAGTACCTCCTGCGGAAACGCTAAGCTTTGATAAGTCCATCAGATTTTCAATCAAAAGGTGCATTTTTGTCACGCCAATTGTTTTTTGTTATTATCTTAACCTTTTCAAGATAGTAACCTCTACTAAAGAGCGGATATCCTCTCTTGCCTCAACTACACCTGAGAGTCCCTGGGATGTTTTCCTTGGTTACAATCATTAGAACCGAATTGATTTCGTTCCTTCTCTCGAATACTAGCGCTGTTACTAGTCACAGAGGAATGATTAATTTATAATCGAGAGAAGACGAGTAATTAACAACCAAAAGGTCTAATCTAACACCTTCTACGACAGGTTTGAGGAAAATTTTATCACTGTTTCAAAGCGTAAAAATACTGATTTGTTTTTGTAAACTATACAGTTGCAAGAAATAAATAATTAATTTTTGCATGTGATATTAAGACTGGACCTGTCGAAACTCATCTGACAGATGCTCGTCACACCTTATGCACATTAAACAATTTAGCTTGATTTCTCTTTTTCGGACGAGATATGTTTAGTTTGGAATTCGTTCCGTCATCATCATTGGTAACAATAATCACATTGTCGCAAACTTAGCATCAATTAGTTATTCTATTAGTCCTCAATGGCGGTTTAATTCTTTACATGCAACTAATCTGCGGCAATAGGTTAAAAATACACACGTGTTTCAGATATCTTTTAATTTGCATGGCGTTGTGGCATCGATGTTTTTTTTCCTCTTTTCAAAGCCAGAGCATGCTTAATGCGAGGTAAGCTGTGATAGAAATAAATACCTTTTCACTGACGCAGATTGCGAGCGGAAGAATAAATTTTTCCACCTTTATAGAGTAGTTTCCCAAGACGTTCTTAATTTTAGATCATTTCGTAATTCGATGATATCGACCGTAAAGGGAAAATCATGAAGCATCAACTGCCCCTCCCAGTCATAGATTCAACAATTAATTTTTACAACCTTTTTTTCCTCGATTAGGGAACTTATTTTAATTAAACTGTAGGTTTCGCTTAAGTTATTCACTCAGTTTTATAAACGACCGGGAATCTGAACCAATAAAGTTCGAGAGATGAGAGTGAGATACAAGATTCCCAGCTGAATCAGTTGAATACCTCTGTACGGACAAATTGAAGATGAACTTGAAGTGAGTAAAATGAAACAGGAAACATGCTTACAAACCGAACCCTGCCCCCTGACAATCAGCTGAATAGAAGAACTTGTTAACTGACCCTCAGTGACGCAAGTAAAGTGCTTTGCATGCATCATTTACATTCTTTGCAAACGAGAAGTTCCGCCATCGTGAATATTGCGAACAGTACCTGTTAGTTGCTGCGTCGTTCAGATCAAGATCAGCTTCATCTGCCTCCGTGTCGTCATGGGCTGTACAGTATCTAAAGACAACAAATACCACCATTATGTAAGTTTGGCTTGTTTGATACACTATCAGTAATCACACCCCTATACTGCGTTAAGCCTTGAGCCCCATGAGATATTTAAATGCTGGATTCTTAAATATGTATCAACATTGCAGTACTTTAAAACTTTAAGAGCTGAGCACAGGTTTCTTCGGGAAAAACCAAATCTGCAAAATTTCAACTTTCATCATTTTCCATGCTGCAACTTGCTGAAGCGAAGCGAACTATTACATGTTAAAATTGGTTCTGTATTATCATTGTTTACGCTAATTTGTTGACGTTCCGTTCAGTTGAATCTCTGCCTGTCAACAACTACCGCCTATTCACAGCTGCAAATTAATTTGGCTTCAAAGACTTTTTAAGGAGTGAATGCTCATCAGGCCTTATTTTAAGCTGGTAATTTTTCAACGATCCTATTTGTAAAAGAAATTCCGATTCTTGATAAGCGATGGCGCAACATGGATTTTAGAAAAGAAGATATAGCCGAGTAACATTATTCCATAGATAAAGCTCGTCAGAACGATTCCGAAACAATCATAGTTCCTTCAAATGCCCTTTCCTGCTAATAATTTCTCCATAACGCTTATGCTTCTTCACTGGTCCGATTTCTTCTCTCTGATTTCTTCTCTACAGCGGCGAGTAAGTTTGCTCCAAGATTACCAAGTTTCAACCAGCTAACACATTTCTTGTATGTTTGTCATGTTGCGCCGCATTGATAAAACAAAGTCAGATAAAACTAATATACTGTCAGTGACTAAATTTCACTGCACTACAACGTCGACTTAACTTTCGGAAACTAATTTGTTTTAGTGATATTTTTAGTTATACTTTCAAAATTGTAAAAAAAACAAACAAACAAACAAAAGGAAAAGAAAAAAAAACCGTGAACCCACTTATGTTAATAATGTTGCTTCCTCTTTTTCTCTCTCTCTCATTTCTCGACGAAAGTAAGACAGAACATAGCATTGCAAAGTGAAAGAGGAAAGAAAGATGCAACTCACACCGGGATTGAAAATAACTGAACAGTTTACTTGGTTTTCTACGAAATTTTCTGCGCGATATGTAACTGTCTGTGTCGGCAATTTTTTCCTCTGACACTGTCAAAAAAGAAAATCCGCAGGGATAAAAAAATCACCAGATGAATGTGCTGGAAGAAAATTAAAAGCTTCACGTGGTCTTGTTCCCAAGACAGTTTTATTTTTAGAACAGTTCGTAATGGAAGAAACTTGAATGTGACGGAAAAACTAGCGAGCAGAACGAGCTGTTCCTATTAATCACTCGGTGAGTTATTGTCTGTCTTAAGGTGCGACAGGAATTAGATATACACAATTTGTTTGAGTTAAAAGAGATGCTTTTCACTCTTTAACCTGTGACGTCAATCATCGTGTTTGCTCCTTTACCAACCAACTACTGTGAATTAATTTACAATGAATCATAAAATAATGAATTCATGCCTAACTGAAAACACTTAGTGCGCTAGATAGCCCCAAAGGAAGTAATTTCATTTCCGCTGGTTCAAGGATCTTTTGTGATGTCAAAACAAGAGGAAATAATTTGCGCTAACTCCGCTAAATGTTAGTTGTTTATAAATAGACATCATTTTTAAAATTACACTTTAGAGACGCGCGTCAAGTTTGTTCACATTTCTACCCAACCTATTCAGAACGTTTGAGGTCACGAGACGAGAAATCAGTCAGACGGAACGATTGCTCGTCAGTCTCACTGCATTCGCTCGCTAAGTTTACAGCGAAGTGGAAGAAATGGGTTGCGCAGCGTCTAAAGGTGACAAATCTGAATCACACGTAAGTCGCTCTTTCGTTGTATTCCAATCGTAAGAAGCCCTAAACCAAATATTATCGCTTGTCCACTGAGCAGCAAGTTAGAACCGTTTTGGAGTTGCAACTATCTCTAACAGCTCTTTCGTTCATCGCATAGCACTACAGAAGACTCCAAACACTTCATTCTAGTGTTGAGCTGTTGTTGAAAACTATTCACGTTATTTTGCATATTGGCATAAGTGTGTCCTTAAACCATCTTCACGTTAGAGTGCCGAGAATCATACATCGTTACTGTACCGTAGCTGTACTTTCGCGATCTTTCGATCTTCAGATCTTTAGAATTGTTCTCATAGTTAAAAAACACACACAAAGCAAAATACGACTCTATGGCTAAGACAAACACTGCTGATCGCTTAGCTCCTGTAAAAAGAGAGAGGAGAACGGACAGACGACAGTAAACAGAAAATGTCACCGATTCGACAATTTGAAATTTTGCTCGTGCTGAGGAAGTGAAGCTGGCGTCTGTCAACAGAGAAGCAGTCGTCTCTAAATAACAGTAGGAAGTTTATTTGGTTGCTATGAAGTTATGAGAATCAATGGGCTGATTAGAAACTCTCGTGCTTACATTGAAATTACCAAGACAAATAGCCGATCTACCTTACACGTATTATATAAAATTATTTTCAACAGAGTTGATTGCGAGTTCTTCAGCTTTTCCTTGAGACTCAAGATATGCTAAATAAACAGCCACGTGGAAATATTCAACTAAGTGATTATAAATAAAGATTATGTGTAAGTTTATTTCAATAGTAAAGGGCAAATAACTTTCTTATTTTCTTGTTTTCTGTATATACAACCTACAAAAGAAATATCTTGTTTTTGCATGGAAGAAATCACTATGGACTAGTCATGTTTTGCACTGATTCGTAAAGGCTGGATTTATCTAATTAAGCCAAATTATGCAATCTTTTAATGGATTTGGATGAATACGGAGACAATAAAATCAATTAATTTTTACACAACCTGCCAACCCACAAGTTAATTAATATGAATTATTGCATCTCTTATTTTGAACATTGTAGAGCCTTACTCAAATGCACGATGCTGGCCTTTTTCGGTTCAGTACGTTAGGATAGCGTTCTCTGCACCCAAGACATGATTAACGGTTTAAATCCCTTCGCAGCATAAAACAGCAATTTCTTTCCCTGGGGGAATTTGTTTCTTGTTTTACGATAGAAAAAAGTAGTACTGGTAACAGCAAATGAATAATATCCGTTTTTCTCGCATAACAAGCACTTACTGAATTCCTCCTTACAGAAGAACTTAAAAGATATAAGTAAGGTATTGTCTAGAATATCTCCTGGGACACGTAGGAATATCATGTTTAAGCTCATACCTTCGTTACGTAACTAAGCACATTTTGTATTGAACAAGTTATGCAGTGCCGGTAAAAGAAAGTACCGCTGGATAGTCCAATAAAGCTCAAAGATAGTCATTTCAATTCGACATCAACAAATTTGAGTGTTTTTGGAAACAAATAAATCACGCACAAGTTTATTCTGCAAAATCTTAAATAGAGGTGAAAAGCGTTTCGACTAAGGGTCACCACACATACAACTATTGAAACAAACAGCCGTTCCCAATGCGGAAAGCAGAAAATTATCTTTAAGAGCTAGAGGGAACTCAAAGTAAAAACTAGTGAACTGCGTCTGACGCGCGGGAAAACGCACTCAAAGGCCTCTCATTGACTCTTGGGGCATCGACCAGAAGCACACGAGCTAAGAACCGCGGGGTATTTGCGTCGTAATTGCGCTTTCTCGCTCAACTACCTAAAGAAAACTGATAAAAGAAATTAGTGAACAAATAAATGAATAAAACAAAAAAAGGCTTTGAATGTTGGAGGGTGCAATTGGCTTCAGATTGGCCCCTGATTGCTGTGAATGAGGCGCGGGTTTTCTCGGCCAAACCCAAACAATCGCGGGCCACTTCCGACCAACTGAAAATTGCTCTAGAACAATAACTTAAAGCCTAACTAAGGTGGCAGTTGGAACTTAAGTTGTGATCACATGTTTCTTTTCTGTTCGGTCGACTTACAGGGGAGGAATGAGGTCAGCAGTTCGGAACCACCCAACTGGGATAAGGAAGCTGATCGACTGCGTGACTCCATCCAAGGATTGGGCACCGATGAAATTTCCATAGTTAGAGTCTTGGCCAGATTGACCAACAGACAGAGAAGGAAATTGCTGAGAGTGTACAAGGAACGATTTAATGAGGTAAAGAGAAATCAAGGTTTTAATATTTATGCTGAAAATGTTAAACAATTCTGGAGTACAGGAAAAAATGAGGAACGGGGGTCCAGTCAGGGTGTTGGCGTTGAATATGTTGATATCCCTTCCGTCCGCCTTAATGCATTATTAAGCTGATTTGCGGTTTTAGCATATTCAGAAAATTCTGTAGAGAAAGAAAAAAACAAACATGAAGACACTCAAACAAACAAAAGTTTGTAGGCTGCCTACCCTCCGTAAGATAATGCGTTTGAACCACTCACTGATGAAGAGGTTGTTGGAGTATTTTAGTGAAGTTTGCGCTCAGCCAAGCGACTTATCTATAAATTTTATTTGAAAAGAAATTTTATGTTTTCACTGTCAACAGGATTTAGCAACTGTGCTTGAAACAGAGCTGAGGGGGGCAGCTAAGACAGTGGTAGATGCGTTACTGTACACACCTGAGATGTACAATGTCACTTCATTAAAAGAAGCCTTTGAAAGCAAGGATTACGATACGGTTGTGTCCATTATAATATCAAGTAGAAATGACAGTTTAATGGACATGAAGGAAAAGTATTTTGCTGGTGAGTACAACTGTTTTTTTTTTTTTTTTTTTTTAATTGAATCCGAAGGTCGTTGACTATGTTCGGTTCAGATCATTTTTATATGATTTGACCTCATGTTCATCAAGTACTTGAACAATGATTGCATTTCCCGTCACTTTTGTAAAAAGATTAATTATTTTTCTGACAAATCCTCTCAGCTACTTACCTTTATTGGTCTGCATTATTACTATTACATTCATTATTTTTATCATCATCGTCATCGTCAACATCGTCTTCTCAAGAGAAACTAATTATCTGTAATAAGAAGATATAATTTTCAAATTGAGTAAAATCGTCAAATCTGTTTAACCTCCTTGTACAGAGTTTAACAAGACATTAGAAGATGATTTGTCCAAGATACCAGACAAAGATGTCAGGCATATTGTGATGTCGTTACTTAGTGTCGATCGATCTTCTGCCAAGAAAAGAGCTGATAAGGAAGCGGCAAGAATAAGAGCCACCTTGTTGTTCAATGATGGTGACATTCTGTCTCTGTTGTGCGAAAAAGTTGGCAGAAATCAACTGAGGGAGACACTGGCTGCTTTTCTGGAGTTGCATAGAATCAATATTGGACAATTTATTGAAGAGAAATGTTCAACTCTATCGAAAAAAGCGCAAGACACCTTAAAAGATTGTGGTAAGTACGGCAATAATAATTAGAATAAGAGAAATGGCGTACGACGACGGCACCCGAACTGTTCCGAGTCCACTCACGAGCCGATCGGAAAAGAGCCCGAACATTCAAAAGTTTCTGGCTGTTGCGAACGAAAACACCTGATCATCATACTTGGCTTTCATGCACATGTTTGTGGGTCATGTTTGTACTTGGAGATTGTTGCCTTGTTATCTAGAGTTATGCCCACATCTGAATATCAAATGGCAAATAAATAGCAAAAATTTAAAACGTTAAAAACTGTGGAGCGGGTTGTAGGCTCAAATAACGCCTTTCTCTAGATTACTGTGCGTCGGTCCTCCTGGTTCGGGGAGGAGCGCTGGCTCATTTCCTGAACAGTGAAGTCTTAGACCCCCAAAGTTTCTTCCATGCTTGTAACTTTAACCTGAAACTCATGGAATAGAGTTTACATTGATTGTGCATCATTTGCACTCTCCTGTTACCCTCACAGCTTGATGTCACCGCGATAACAGTATTATCATTAACTTATTTATCTATTTATTAAGGAATCTCATTGTTTGCAGTTTTATTGATTGAAAACCCTCCACAATATTTCGCAAAGGAAATGGCAAAGGCTGACGAGCTCAAGATATTGAGAATGATGGTCTCTAGGTCTGAGGTAAGAGTCTTAATTTGTGTTCAAGGAGAGAATATTTTGAGCTCTAATAGAAGTTTGTTAGACGATAAAAAAGCAAATAATGGTTTAAAAAAATGGCATATGCACATCCTTGATATATCTACGAAAGGACGTCCCCGAATCACAAAGAAAATAGCCTGCTCATATGAAGCTGAATGTTTCAATTTTTTACAGATAGACCTTTATTACATCAAGAAAGAGTTCCTCAGCATCTACTCGAGACAACTCCATGACACCATTGACAAGCAGTGTCGCTTTGATTACGCCAGACTGTTAATAGTGATACTGGAATTACGTGGACAATACAGTGAGTCAGCTAAGAAGAGATGATTTATGGCAACGTATCGCATGTTGTATCCCAGAGGTTTCGCTTCGTGTAGCCTCACTCAGAATGAAACGAAGGATCTGCATGGTAATAACGCCCTGTAGGACAGAAATCGTCTCTATCCATGGGTAAAAACATATATACCACAGAGAGGCTCGTCTTTCTAAGACATTTTGGATGGCGACATTATAAGTACTAAGAGAAGTTTGGTTGAGGCAGTTAATTGTATTGATATATCATGAAATCTCTCTGCTGAAAATCTCGCATTATGAAGAAAGGAACAAGTGAAAACAAAAGGAACACTGTTGAAAAGAGAATTTCAAAAGACAAGCGCAAACTCTAACAATATTATGAGACAAAAAAGATAAATATATTAATAAAAAAAGTAATTTTTTAACGAGCAGTTTGATCTGTGTCGATTGCTCATACGCGAAATTAAAAGGGGCTTTTTAGTTCGGTGAAAGATCCAATATGAAGGAAAGTGGACGAAAAATAACTGAAACAAGTTGACCTCAAACACATATAAGGCGGTTTACAAATTCCACCGCATGGCCTCCACTCACGCGCGCGTGCCAAAAAAGAGTTCTCTGGCTACAGATCTAGATAAGAAAAAAAATTGGGAGGAAAAAGATTGTTATTCAATAGCCCCGTTTTTGTGACAAGTTTCTATTATTTAATTCAACAATTTCACAAATGCTATGTACAAAGCTTTGGAGACTGACATCCAACAATATTCTTGAAGGGCTATGTTTTAAAAATGTACAACAGTTAACACGACTACAAGGAAATAAATAGCTGGATAAATATTAAGTACGTGTAATAAATAAATAAATAAATAGACTGAAATCCAACAACATTCTTGAAGGGCTATGTTTTAAAAATGTACAACAGTAAACACGACTGCCAGGAAATAAATAGCTGGATAAATATTAAATACATGTAATAAATAAATAAATAAATAGGAAGTTATCAAATTTTTATCTACATAAGATGTGAAAATCTTCTAAAGCTGTTTTCACACGCTATTCCAAAGTTATAACAGGTTTTGCTAAAGAGTACCACAGGTTTAAATTTACGACCTTAGACACTATCGCCATCATAAAAGTATCATTTTTTCCCTATTGGGCAATTTGACGTTTAGCACTCGTTGTTAGCACACTTAAATTAATCTACATGTTTGTCTATTAACGAATTTTAAACACTCTGACCACTCTGTAAGCTTATAAAAAGAGCTTTACTCCTTAGTTTGACTCCATTCCATAAAATGTTCCCCAAAGATTATTCCCACAGCTGCTTAATCAAACACGGACACAGAAAAAGGTTTAATACTCGAGAAGTCCCTCTCTGCTGAGCACAAAGTGGTCGTGAACAACCAATGCAATCATCAGGGTTTGGATTTCGCTGTTTACGAAAGATTCCAACTGACCATAATCCATAAGATTCATAACTGACCATAATTTTCGCGAATCTGAGTCACTGTCATGGTTTCCTTAAGAACAGAAATTACACTTAAGCGTGTATGTGAGTAAGGAAACTATGGCTGTCTGCAAATACATTGCGTGATGACTTGAAGGAGCACTTCCCTTGGATTGGACTGCAACAGAAAATTTAGAAACTACCTTAACTGACAGATAAAAGTAAACTAAATATGATTTTAAGGTTACCCCAGATTTTTCTTCCTGTCTCCTAAATTAGTATTTGTATGGACTGAAAATAAATATGGTCAGCATCTTTGATACAAAACTTTTGCAAGTAAACCGGACAGAGAGATTTATTACGAATTCATTACGATTACAAATCTAAAAGTTACTATTCAATGTGGATGTCTCTGATCATGTCACTTTAAAGACAGTCTAAGAACACTCCTGATCTAAAACATGAAATCAAATTTTTTTGGCAATTACATACATACCAACACTGCAAGTTATTGCCACACAATTCCATCTGCGAGCATGGCAAACACTGTAGATTTAGAAACAACAATTGGCAATTAATAACTTCCAGTGTGAATGAGGCCTCTCCTGACATATTTTCTTTCATACAAATAACTTCAAAATAAATAATGTAATGGGAAAACTGACCAAAGTCAGACAAAAACATGGCCATAGGAGCCAAATGTTATTACTGTTTAAATAATTCAACTTGAAACGCCAAAAAATTTGGCTAACATATTTCCAGTTACTCCAAGAACTTAATAATAGTCTACATCCGAAAAAATATAAATAAATAAAACAAGGTGAGAGGACCAGACAGGATGAGAAAAATATGTAAATTAATTCAAGAAATACAAAACTTGTGCAAAGTTACAATGGATTATTTTTTTATTTTACAGCTGTATAGCTCACCACTCTTTGCAGCCTCTGTTTAGGAGTAATAACTCTCCTTCCTCATACAATTTCCCTCTGTAATTGCATTTCCCTGGTTAGACAAAATATGAGATTAGCATAGCAGATACCCAAAAAATGTTGCTAATTACCCATAAATGATCACAAGAAGCTAGCAACAGTGTCAGTAAGTGTCAATTGAAATTACTCTGCAATTGCATTGATTTTGCTTTTATTTTGCTCTAAGATTGGTTGCTGCTCCCACAATCAGGACAAAAATTAATATATCACCCATGACTTAATCACTCACAATTTCCCACCCTTAACAAAGTTTGCTTGTTCGTACTTTGAGTTCTCATCCAACACCTTGCATTATTTCCCTTTGCTCTGATTGGCAGATTCCAGCCCCTTTGAAATATCCCCTTTTTTCTGATTGCTCTTCTCCTTTGCAAATCAACCCTTCACACCCTAACATCAATATGCATATTCTCCATACTGTTCTCTAAACATTTCCTAAGGTGCTGACAGGGAGAATTTGTGTAACAATCAAGAGCTTCTTCAGTTGGTGATCACTTCCTTTATCTTCATGACCTTAATGAGTGATTTATAGGTCATAATGTAGGGAGACAGTAAATGCTTGTTACTCTTAGGGGTTACACTTAGGGTTAACTTGATTGTAAAACTTGCATGTTAATTAGAATGCAATTATACAATCCTTTTTGCTCACCTTGTAGACAGTTCACATCAGATGAGCAAATGATTGAGCCATTCTGACACGAACTGTAAAAAATTGAAATCTGTGATTATGCCATTCGTAACTCAATTCAATGGTTGTTTTTATCATTCACCAATTATTTGCAGACTGCAGCTATCAATTTTGACAGTTTGCTTCTTAAATTGCTTTGCTTGAACAGATGCAATGTTTTTGGTCTCATCCGTATCTTGAGAGAAGTTGGCTTTGATTAACA